GTTTTAAAACTACACTATTCATATATTATTTGCAAGTTACAGAATCGAATTTGCTTTACTAGAGCAGGATTTAGAACATTTTGAAGATACGCAATTTTTATAATAAATTACTATGCCGAATTTTTTTAATAAAATGATCGACAAAAATTAAAAAATCTTACATAGTGCTAATCATATATGGTGCTACACTATGATAGTAAATTATTTGATATGCAATACCCCAGCGTTGGGTTGAACAAGAATATGAAAAAGATGATCTTTTACTGAAAATAAAATCAAATATTTTTTGTTGAGTTTCTAATGGATCTGAGAGTTCTCTTGTTGAAGCTATCGCACACTTAATCGAGGCTTCTTTACGCTGGTTACCACTTGAATATGATGTTAATGTGGTTAGAGATGAAAAACCTAGCATTGCTAGCAAGAATTAGAAGGTGTTAGAGGAAAGTGGATCAAGAAGAGAGTATCTTTGAAATGGAAGCAGTATGAGGTTGCTTATGTGAAAAGTGGAAAATGAGTTCTCAATAATCAAAAAATTTGTGATCATAACAAGCTTGCGAAACTTTGCTTGTAAAAAAAAGATTTATATCGCATTTGGGATTAATATTATAGGTAATAATACATTTTTTTATAATTTCTTATTAAAGTAAAATACCATCAATATTAATATCATTTTTTTTATTAAATATAGGCAATAGATTTATACTCCATGGGTTAGTACAAGAAAAGAGTATAAAGTATTATTTGCCTATTTCCAAAGCAAAAATCCACTTCTGCGATAAATCACTTGAAGAGGTAGAAGGATTTGTACATATTTTATTAACTTTGCGGGTAAGAAATTATTAAATATAGAGTTAGTTATTATTATTTATTCTCTAAAAAAATTTTAAATTATATTAGAATGGAATTATCATAAATCAATAAGAGCTTTTTATACTTTATTTATCGCACAATACAGACTATACGTAGAACCCAAACATGATACAAAGTCCAAATTAGTGTTCGATATTATATATATGGAGATGCATTAACATAAAGATGTATATAGATTACACTCAGTAAAATATTCAGTATTTTGGATTTCATTGTGAAAGTTTTATAGAGTATTTTGAAACAAATAGATTATGGTTCACGTTGTGATATTTTATTTTTTTTATGACAATAAAGCCATCCCCGGTGGCTTAATTTCGCACAAATAATCAGTTTACTTTTGCGTGTATATTTCGTGGATTTATTTTATTGTATCGTTATCAATGTATATTAATCTATATATGAGTATTTTTTTTTAGTAAAAGTGATTGACAGGTTCCTGACCATTGGTCAGGATGTTGTTAAATTAAAAACATTAACTAATAAAAACATTTTTCAAAACATATACAATATTCTTTTTCTAAACATTTCTAATAAAGTTATATAAATCAGTATTAAATATGCAGATGCAAAAGGATAAATCTAAAGAATTATCTGAAGTTGATTTATTGATGACCAGAATTGCAGAATTAGAATATATTATAGAAGAAAATACTAAACATGAAGCTGTATATAAGACTAGAATTAAGAAACTATAGCAGAGCGATAAAGAGAATGCTACCTTAAAGCTGAAGTAGTGAAATTAAGAAATGATATTGAGAAAATCAAAAAGAAACCAAACCGTTACTAATATACAGAATGCACTTTCTACAAAAGAGATTTTTTCACTTTATCTGAAAACAACTTTAGAGACTCGAAACAAAATCCTCATGTTGATAATCCTAAACAGATAGACTTACGATG